CATACTTAAGTGTGTTTCTAAAACCAATTTATATTTTTTTATCGTGTTCTGTCTTACTCTATGATATTAAAAATACTAAATAAAAGCAGAATAGATGACGAAAAAGTTCACGATATTTATATATTTACTCAATCTAAATCGATTAAAGAGTTCAGTTTCAGGAGGTTGTACTGCAATAAACCAATTTTTGGATATCATCAACCTCATCCCGCTTTCCATTAAAAATACGAAATTTAGAGCAGCGTTACATGATGAAAAAGTCAAAGATAAATCGAAAATACATTTTAAGAGTAGAGTAGGGCTTGTACCTTCGTGTGTTTACTTGACTATGTGCATGTGTATGTTTTTTATAATATCTTAATCTTGATCTGTGAGAAACGTTGATTGATGATCAACGGATATTAGCCGTATTTTATTGGACATTAATGCCAACATGCACTTGGATGTTTCTTGAAACTTTCTGCAGCAAGTACCTAATTGCTAGTCTTATCATGCACTGTAAGGCAGGAAACTTTTATTCTGTTTATAAATCCAACAGTTACGTTATGAGTGATATGACTTGTTTTTCCCTTAACATCTTTATGAGGTGGAACGCCCCGCTTGCATTATATATTTTTTAGGGAAAATAAAATTTCTATATTCTTTCATAGTGATATGTTTTTTATTATAGTTTATGTCACCCTCGTATGATGCAACTTCGTATAGATGAATGAATTTTTATAATGGTCCCTAGTTCGTAGGCAATACGATGCACACAAACAATCAAATATTTCCTCTGTATAGTATTAGTATAGATATATTGAACTTGTGTTGAATTCTACAAGTGGTTATTAGTTGAAATCACATAATAGAAAAAAGAGTAAAAGTAGCATGCCGGTTGTTTTGTATGAAAACCACTGTAACCAAACTCTCATAATGAAAGACACTTGAAATACAGCTTTAGCATTATTCAAGTAATTAGTTATTATCTATATACATAATCTAGCCATAAATACCGTTGAAATTAATTACCTTTGAATTCATTTTTAAATGATTGTTCATTAAAATTAGAATGAATAAACATTTTTGTTTTTTTTTGTACTTTTCTTTATTTTGCGTCAATACATTATAAAATATTTTGTAATATTAAAATGGAGTAGGGTAATAAGAGAACCCCGTCGCTGTGATTGCATTAGATAAAGTAAGTATGGAGCCAAACTAATTTTCAAATCCTCTGTATGCTTGGTATTAGTCAAACGTTTTGTGTACCGGGCTATTGATAGGTACAATGAAACCTCCTCTGTTTGTGACAGAAAAATATCTTGCAGTCTACGTAGTGTTCGTACGAAAAAGGCGATTAAAGCAGTAAGAGGAAGAATACGAAGAAATCCTGACCGAAAGCAAAACATTTTGTCTCAGGAGATGAACATAGCACCTAGAACCATGTCGCGTATTTTAAAAGATGACTTAACACGTTAAAGTTTTTCAATTCTTTCCATTTTTGCGGTATCGGGCGTTTTACAACTGTACCTTTTTGTATTTCATTACAAAAAAAAATTACACCGAAACCAAAATAACATCCTTCCATGGATAAAACTATATTTTTAAATACCAATAATACAAAGGAAGGTGCCATGGGTTGGTTACATTTAGTCCGAGGCAAAGAAGCGTTTATTTTAAAAGATGACTTAACACGTTAAAGTTTTTCAATTCTTTCCATTTTTGCGGTATCGGGCGTTTTACAACTGTACCTTTTTGTATTTCATTACAAAAAAAATAACACCGAAACCAAAATAACATCTTTTTTCCATGGATAAAACGATATTTTTAAATACCAATAATACAAAGGAAGGTGCCATTGGTTGATTACATTTAGATCCGAGGCATAGAAGCACATAAACTTTTCCGAGCTTAATAAAGTATCTGGACATTATCACAGCTAAAATAATAAATTATTAAATTAAAACGTCAACGCCATCTATTTTCCACCTCATTTTTAATTATTTTGCATTAGATAATATCAAGTATGCATTACCTCTCCTCCCTTTTGAAATGACAGTCTGTAATTAAAAAGAGTGTGCGGTTACTCCTGTTTCGTTTAATATTATAGAGTAAAAAGCAGATACGTCCAATACAAATGCCAACTTTGAATTGTTGTAAGCTCGCAAGATTTTCCTTGTAATTTTTATATGACTCAAAAATTATGTATTACTGGTTATGAGAAATCTTTTTTTCATTTCTACATTTTCCTCAAGTTCATATTTGAATTAGTAACATCCAGGTTATAGCTGTCATAAAACAGGCATTCAACTATTCTTCATTTTTTCCAATGACGCGTATGGCAATTATGTACTTAGGTAATTTTTCTATTAAAAATTTTCGTTTCCATTAAAACTATAACACAGTTTATATTTGATTAAAACCTATTAATTAAAATATCCATCATCTTCGTCTTAAGAAAATTTATTTGTATTATATACTTATGACTACATTTATTACTTTCTCTCTATGCGCGAAGAAATATAACACAGGCCTTTCCTAAGAAAAATATAGGTATTAGAGAAAAAGCGATAGGCCATAACCCATCATGCACGCCTACTGCAACCGGGACCAACAGCTTAGTTACGACGCATGCAAGAGCTTGAGATAACAAAGTTCACCTATCCAATGATGGAGCCTTACCAACGAACTAAGCGAGCTCTCAAAGCTTATACATCTATACATAGTGTAGAACAAACTCGCTTCACGCTGTCTGAAGACTGAAATCTTTTAAACTACACAACGGATTTGAATGCGGATTTCACCAATATTCATAGTGACTCAAGAGGAATGTTTATATGTATAATTCAGGACCACGCGAGCGAAATCGCTGGCGGAAAGCTTGTTACACTAAAAACAATAATTCCTTGGTTATGTACCTGAAGCGACTTTCATTTATATAAAAATGCAAAATAAACATAGTGAAGATAGTGCGTGGATTATCATGTAATCTGAGAGCAAATCTCGTTGATATCTCAGCGAATTGGTTCGTAATGTTATCGGGCACCACAAATATTAGCTTTGTTGTCGTTAGCAGCACCAGGTACTAGGTGTTCGGCCTTGTACACCGAGCATGTATCCATATATTACCAGATATGGCGGCTCTACATACATTCAACTATTGTTAATGAAAACGCTGCCTCCTCCATTGCAGCACACTGTACGTGGTGAAGTATAATAAGCCATAAAATTATTATCACATTGATCATGTGGTACAGAACACTATTAATATTATTTGAAATGAAGTTTGAATAAAAATTTTGCAAAAGAATAGTCCATTTCACTTAGGAAAGTATAATATAAATAGTTTATATTTTTTGAATTTTATATACGGTACCCTCGATATGCAAGCTGACTAGCGCACAATCCATTTTTAAAAATGTTGTAGTCAAATTCAAATAAATTTCTTATTATAAGAGTATATAAATAAGAGTGTGCTGAAATCCAGAAAAAAAATCTGAGATACACCCGCGCCCTGCATATAACCGCACAATCTGTGGCACAATTGACAACGCATGCTCGACTAAATTTCGTTACAAATATGATTTAAACTCATTTTCGTGGAGGCGCCGTTTTAATGATTTGATAAAAATTATCAACGTCTGTATACGCATCTAAGTGATCGCTACGAAAAAATTATATGCGCTCGAAAAAATCTAATTAATTAATAACGCGCTAATCTTTATAATTATTGTAAAAGTTCTCAATCCTAACCTACCTATTGACGTATTTATTAATTTTCACTAAAATAAAAGAGTATGTAGGAATAAATAAAAAGTAAAGGAGCATGTGGGAATTTCAAAGTAAGTTTAACTAAATTTTATCTATCAAGAATATTTTATTAATTTCAAATATTCTTGATAGATAAATATTTTTCAATTCAAGCTACCCTTCACGGGCGCCAGGCCCGGTTGTATATTCTTACAAGTAATTTACGACTTACGGGGAACTTTATCATAATGATGATTTAGGCTAAAAGGATTGAATTTCTACTTCAAGAGTACTCTTGAGTCAATTATTACCGACTACGCTTATGTTTCTATATAAGCTGATGACCATGACGATACATAAAAAAGTATAAACGTAACTATTATATATGTATAATAGGAAAAGCTTCGATTAGTTAAAGATTTTATTGATGGTACTAGTCGTTATAGAAATGACTCCTAAGCGTTTTGTATCAAATGAAATAGCAAATGGCTTAGCTTCATTTGCCGTGTAATTATGCTGATGAATTCTAAGGCACTCTGTTGAATTGCTAGTGACATAAACATACATCATTTACTGTTATCCAAGCTATTATTATGGCAGATGATGTTTCATAAGGACGACGCATTTCAATTAAAGAACATGTTTGAATAAAATGATGCGCTGTGTATCACTAATAGGTATAGAACATCTATGCTAATATTATAAAGCTGAACTGAAAAAATATTTTTAGATTGAATCGCTCATTTGTATCGCCATCGCCCAGATGGCTGTTCTATATAACATCTAGCTATGACTAATAGGTAATGAGAGTGAAGCAGCAATGGAAAATAGTGTAAAAACGGGAAATACATCGGGGAAACCGCTATGGAGGAAAGCTAGTAGTAGTATTATATGACTCCTGATTTTGTTTTCTGTTAGAAATAATTAACTTTGTTTAATTCAGTCTTCTCAATGTGGTGCAAAAATGTTATGTTACTATCTAACATTACACCCAAATCCTTCGCAGTATCAACCTCTGTCAAAATCAATCCATTAATTTTTTGTATGTAAAGTGTATTGGCTGACTATCGTTGCGACGAAAATTAATGACACATTTGTTCAGGTCGAGTGACACTCCGTTCTACTCACACCATACGTACAGCATATCCAAATCCTGTTGCAAACGATTTTAATTCACACCTGCATAATCAGAACAGGCAGAAAATTTGTCATAGTATATTATTTAATGAGCTTGATTGATTTTTTAAAGTTTTACGTTGTCTGATTTACAGGTCATCTCCAACATTAGCATGTCCGTCGTTGGACAATGGCGACAGTTACACCCAATCAGAGTTCCTGTCACGCCTGGCTAACGAGTGCCGCTACGATCGGCTGCTGCTGCCCACATACTTGTCCGGAGACGTGGTCTACGTACATGCCAGCGCTTATGTGTACTTCATTCAACCAGCAGAGGCTCACGATTTGGTAAGTTACATTACTATTACTGCTCTTTATGTCTAGAGTAATAAAAAATCATATTTTTATGTTGATGGGCGTCATTCGATTGATACGTCAACTGAATTTTACTCATTATACGTCCCGGCCCTCTTTAGCAGTTAAAAATAAACAAAACTCTTCCTCTTCCTCCTTAAAAATTAAACATACTCGTATATAATGTCTCTGATCCTAAAGTCATATTTCACTTAGGAGAATTTTCGTACGACTAACCGATAAAATAAATATTAAAACTTTTCAGAATTTCAAGTTGCATTTCCTCCTACAACTGCGTTGGACTGATCCACGACTGGCATATGCGCTTTATTCACCAGAACGTTCTAAAATCATCGGCGAAAGTGATTTGCGACAACGTGTTTGGGTACCACACCTTTACATGTCTAATGAGCAATCTTCAAGTCTTATGGGAACTGATAGCAAGGATGTCCTTATATCTATAGCACCTGATGGTGAGGTGCTGTTTAGTCGTCGTATGCAAGCAGTACTATACTGCTGGATGAACTTGCAGAAGTTTCCTTTCGACGAGCAAACATGTTCTATGAATCTCGAGAGTTGTAAGTTAAATTGGAAGAGTTTCATTGGAATATTTTTGACGTTTTACCATTTAATAATATGATTTATCGTTTACAGGGAAATACAATGCGTCGATTTTACGGCTCATGTGGGAGAGGGACAATCCTGTCCGTTTGTCCTCGGAATTACACTTGACGGAATACTCACTCATAGATTATTGGACAAATGAATCAGTAGTACGTGGAGATATTGTAAACATGCGCCTAGGAGGAGGTAGATGTAATGTCACTTTTTTATGTTTGTGACGTTTTTTGTACGTATATAAAATGGGGCTTTGATGAAGTCATCATTATTGTGTACCCTAATAAATATAATAAAATCGATAATCACTGATTTATGGAATGATAAATAAATATTCCTTTGTTACTATTTTTTTACAACATACATTCGTTATTTTTAATGCATAAATAAAACATAAAAAGTCGATTTAAATGCAATTTAAATGTTACAAACAAGGAAAACGATGACTTCACAGTCATTTAAAGCCCCAGCAATAATATTTAAACTGACATTATATTTATATATTTTTCAGCTGGGAATTATAGCGCATTAAAATTCACTTTCAAGTTGGGTCGAGAGGTGGGATACTATCTCATGGATTATTTTATACCGTCCATGATGATAGTCGCCATGTCCTGGGTTACGTTCTGGCTTCAAGCAGACGCCGCCGCTCCCAGAATCACATTAGGTAATTTATTTGTAATAAATAATTATTGGTCTACAGGAAAATATATTCTGAATATTTCATTCACCAAAAATAGAAACTACTAACGCATACTTAAGGATGGTGCAAAACTAAGTATGCGTTAGTAGGTGACGGATCTTCCGTCGAGAGTGCAAAGTTGGATGTCATATCATATTTGTTAGTTCTGACGTTCCGCAATAGACACGACACATTTTCAGTCAGAAACGATCCGTCTGTTGTCGTAATAAAGGTTTGTGCATAGAATTAATAAGTACATGGGTTTGTGCGTCCATATTAAAAAAAAAAACCTTTTACAATTTTTATGAAATCACATGAAGAACCAATTGTGGTTTAGTTTAACTACTGCTATTTATAAAACATTCGGGATATAATCCACCAGTGTGAAATTATAACAATAAAATTTTTACTTTTCCTACATATATAGGAAAATGATGATATTGTAGAAGATTCTAATGCTGCATCTATGTATGTATGTCTATATCTTAGTCTTATTTTCTTTAAATTTGTCACAGGTACAAGTACTATGTTATCGTTTATAACTTTGGCGTCTTCTCAAGCGAAAACGCTTCCTAAAGTATCATATATAAAAGCCAGCGAAATATGGTTCCTGGCGTGCACTGGATTTATCTTCTCGGCCTTAGTGGAGTTCGCATTCGTCAATACGATATGGCGTAGAAAGTAAGTTAGTCAAACTTTTTCTATTAATTTACGTAAACTAGAAGAGCAACGAACGAATAAATAATATAGAGAGTCACATGATTCTATTTTATCCCATGTCGCCTCGTAATCCGCACCAGTATTATTTCTCATGTTTGTTGATACTGTGTAAAATGATGACTCAACTGCGCCAACGTTTGGCTTATCTAAAAACAAAACTAATTAATAATTACACTCACGACCTAATTACATGTAATAAATCTTGTGAAAATCTACTTAGATTGATGAACATTTTCACTGATAAAGACCGAAGTCATCACATATGGAATATTAAATTTAGTTTTATAAATGTTTGTTGTTCCAAAGTTCGTAATACAAACGTTTGACGTGTGCTTTATGTATGTCATAACGTGACACACATAAAGCACAGTAAATGCCCTTCATGCTCATGTTATTATATAATTATTGCACACGAGCACCTTTATAAAATTAGCATTTTCTTTATACTAAGTATACAATAAAGGAACAGATAACTGCGTACATGTATTATGTAGCGTAGAGAAGTAATCATTTAATTTTATTTATAAAATAGCATATGTCCGAATGATGACCGCAAACCCCGTCTTTGTGATTTGATATTCTCAATCTCAAAGTTAGGTATAGTATACAAGACAAAAAATACACTTATAGCTATAATCAGTGTTATGAATATTGTTTTACAGGAAAGTGGTTAATTTAAAGAAGGTGAATAGTAAATATATATTGAAGAGTACGCTGACTCCGCGACTTGCTCGTAAAGAGTTACAAAAGGAGCTGCAAGAGTCGTCTCCGCAACTTACAAAGTCGAGATCCTGCTCTTCGTTAAGCCAAAACCACAGCACGGATCCAGCGGGACCGGCTTACAACAACTACCTTACAGTCCACGTGAGTTGAACTTTTTCGATTATCATCATTATCATCCTCCTTGTGTCCCCACTTCTAGGAAACGTGGCTTTAACCCACCACGAAGTCCCGGTACGAATTGGTGGGTGTTAACAATTGCAAATGAAGACTTTCCGCTGTATATATCAACATTTCACTTTCTATATTTTCCTTTTTTTTTTTCTTCTTCTAATAACCAATCGCACAATTTTCACCCTAAACACACAAGTTTTCCGGGCGAATGTAGAAGCTATCCTGGTAAATAGGAATGTTATTCTAAATAAGCCTCTAATTCTGTATACATTTTTTTATACCACTGCTGATAATATAATTTATTATAGAGTGAATAGCAGCTATTAGTACATGATTTTTACAGTAGCATACTGTGTTACAGAGCTTCCCATCGGCTTTAAATCTGCCTACTATAACGACGCAAAGCTTCGACGAACTGATTTCAAGTCAGGGCATGAACAAGCAGCAAAACAGCACAGGCAGCGAAGGCTCCGATCCACCCCCAAAGAATCACACGTGGACCACCATGACCCCCCAGGAGATAGCCACGTGGATAGACAAACGTTCAAGGGTCCTCTTTCCTTTACTTTTCATCTTCTTCAATATCATATACTGGACTTTTGTTTATTGTTTGTAGAATAAAAACAAAACGATGACGCCATTATGATTTGTCAATGTCTCATGTAAAAGTTGTTGACGAATCATCGGGGAAATACCTCATCAGATTGAAAAGTAAATCAGTATCTAATTTGTGTATGTAATATTCAATTGTAAGTATATAATAAAATCAAGCGTTAACTTGTCTATAACTGTGAAACTATCATTTCTAGCAACTTCCAGAGTCTAAAGTAGTAGCAGCACACAAATTCACATTTACAAACTGCAACAAATCTCTTATGACCTTACAATGCAAACCACCGACTCGGCGGTTAGTCTTGTAAGGTCATACAACTCCTGAGGATACTCAGTGGAGATGCGAAACACAAAGATTTGTTGCCGTTTATTGTCATTAAATATCTAAATAATATAAATGATTAATAAAAAAGATTTAATAAGACATTTTTATAGTTATGTCTAGACTTATGGCCAGAGAATTAGACGGTCGCTCCCCAGGGGTTGCAGTCTCGACAAATTTTGGAATCGCAATCTTATAGAATTAAATTTGATTCAGCTATTGCAAGTCTCTACGGTTAACTATATTGATATTTGTACACACCGAGTGCAACTATCAAATTAGCAAAATTCGTTAGTTTCCTAGCGATCAAGTTACTTAACGATCGCAAAATCTGGACAGACTCTAGCCCCAGGTCTACAAACACTGACAGGGTGTGGAAGTTACTAGATATCATAATTTTACAGTTATAGCATTCGTCCTTGGTCTGCTGATACCAGAGCAAGTTATTTAAGCTTTTTTATACATAAAAATTAAGTCCTAATTAAAGTTTAATTTCGAGATTATGAAGGGTACTTATTTATTTTTCAATCTATCCCAATAAATAAGTTGTAAAGTGGCCATATTTTTATATCTTGTAACTGTAAGAAAATAATGTTCCTTATTTATAATTGCTAGCCTTGCCTGGTGCAGTAAAGTATGCTCGAAATATAATTTTATCTTAATCTGTAATTAATATTTAGTTTATTGTTAATTTATTTAGAGATCACCATCTAAAAACAGCGTGAATGTCAATAGGAAATTATTATTATGTATGTATCTCACTATGACGACATTGTGCGAGTAATTTTTATAGTGCATATTACTAGTCCAATAGAGAAGTGCACAAAATATTATTGTAAGTGATCCCGTTGCGAAATTAGTTTTGTTTTTGTGATCATTGTCGTTGTGATTCTAATTGTGATTGTTATTTTATTCTGATTTTTTTTCTAGTGTAAATACCTAATAAGTGACGACGACGTATCTGTTTGCTGATTCAGTATCTACTTTCGTTATCGTCGGTATATGAGATTATAATTAAGTAGGAAAGATTTATTATATTGATGTTTAAGTTATGTAATCTCACTAAATATAAATTTGAGTATCCATTTGGTCTTTTATATTATATCTTTAGAATTAATGTTCCCAAAGCTTGAGTATACACCTTCCCTATACATGGTATCGAATAGGAAGAATGGTCTATGACCCACTACGTGAGTCCAGTGCGGATTGGTGGGTGTTAACGTAACGACTGCAAAAACGACGGCTTCCTCCTGAAGCACAGCAAGCTCGAGATAATAAATTTTTGGAAACCCATCCTATAACCGGCCCTTGAAAAAGTTGCTTAACTTCCGCATTGCAGACCAAACGGACGAATCACTGCTCAATGTAACTTCTGTTCTTCTGTTGATTATATGAAAATTTTAAATTTTAAACTTCCGCAAGGATCGGTCATGGGATCCGTGATCAAAAATTATTAGTTCGAGCTACTCCGTGCTTTGGAAGTCACGTTAAGCCGTTGGTATCGGCTGCTTTTGCAGTTGTTGATACACTCCCCGCATTGGGCCAGTGTGGAGAGTCATGGCCCATCCTCCTTAACCATCCATAAAGAAGGCCTGAGCCCCTGCCGTAAAAGAGCGAAGAAGCCGTGACCGAGTCACCAGGACGCTCCCCCCCCCCCCAACTCAAGGAACCCATTACAATAAAACGGCAATTACATACTTTAACCCCTAATAATAGGTCTTTACCTATGAAATTATTGTTATGCCGTACTTGCCATTTCAAATCAAAATATTTTTTTGCTGATAATTCTAATTTCAAATTAATTTTATTTTAAAAACAGTATGAGTATGAGTACCATCGTGGCAGCTGAGCGAGCGGCACGCAACATCAACGACGTTTATGGAGCGAACACGACAAACGAACACACCACTCGTTATTGTTTGCCCGCTACCGTTCTGGAAATTTTGACCAGAAAAATGAACCCTGAGTTCGTCCGAATACTTTAGTCGATAATGACGAATTAAAGGCGATTATGGAAGCTGATGAAACTCAATCTACGGCTGAATTAGCAGGAGCTTTCGAGGTTAGCATCAAAACATTTACGTCAAATTGGCAAGGTATAAGAGCTTGACAA